TTCAATACATTATTGCATATAGATCTGATGAATTGTTATATAACTGCTAAAGACTATTTTTCAAAGATTAATAATGAGGAAAAAAATTTTTAATGTATAAATGAAGGAAGCAAGATGTTTCCTGATGTTTGATGAGATCTCCATTTATTGTTTAAATGGACACACTCACTTACTGTACCATGATGAGCCTTGAATACCTTATGTTCACTGAAAGAAGTCAGTCACAAAAGCCTGCAGTGTGTATGATACTATTTTTATGAAATGTCCAGAATAGGCAAATCTATAGAGACAGAAAGTAGATTAGTGTTTACCTAGGGCTGGCTGGGGGGCAGGGAGGGGTGATGGCTAATGGGACTGCTAATGGGAGATCCTTTTGGGAGTGATGAATATATTCTGAAATTGAATACCAGTGGTGGCTGCACAACTCTGGGAATACACCAAAGGCCACTGAATTGTACACTTTGAAAGAGTGAATTTTATGACATGTGAAATATATTTCAATAAACCTGTTATTAACAAATGGACACCTATTCAAGTGAAGAAAGAGTGGAAAGAAATACAACAAAACACTGGATGGTAGTTTTGGGGGGAGAGTTACAAATTTGGGGAGAATAACTCCCAAGGGGGCTGGGAGTTACTCTTCCTCTAACAGGGAGGCTGCAAGATCACATAATGGGGGTAGAGACGTACCAGGAGAAGTGAAAAACTGAAGCCAATAATTTTACCTACAAGGAAGACAAAACTGAATGGAAGGAATCGAATGGCTGATGCAGAGCATCCCTGGTGTTCATGGGGAATATCTGGGGGAACAGGGTTCATCAAGGTGTCCCACGAATGCTATCACACAGGGAACATCTACTCAAGTCTACTGGGCTAGGTCCTTCTGCAGAGGCTCCTCCGGCCTGGGGCTCATCTCCTCTAGGCTTCTCAGCTCCCAACCTTCCTACAGGATCCTGGACACCAACCTGGTGAAAGGGATGAATTTCATCAGTGTCAGAGGAGAGTGGGTGTGAGTGAGGGGTTCACTATTTCCTCTTCCTTCCCTGGAGCCAATCAGCTCCCATCCTGGGCAGGGAGGCGACTTCTAAACACTGACTATTTCAGCAGAGGCTTGATCTCAGGGTTGGTTGTGCAGGTGGCAACAGGGACAGACCCTGGGCGGTCAGAACCTGGGCTCCCAGGAGATGCAGCTGTTTACGTCTTTGGACCAACCCGTTGGCTTTCTTGGAATCCTCCTCAGCTTCTCCTTGAGGAGAACTAGAGAAGCAGAGTTAGGAGGAGTTACTCAGACCCCAAGAGAAAGATCCCAACCATGTTATGAATTTAGGAAACATAACACTCGGGAGGCATCCAGAGAAACAATAATGAGCTTCATTGAATGAGGGTGGTTTGGTTGTTACTGTCACCAAATAGTTCTGCTTCTTCTGAATGCAGAAGAATTCTTGTCCCTTGGAGTTAGGGATGATGTGACTTGCTTTGACCAACGAAATGTGAGCATCCATGGAATGTAACTTTGGGCAGAGACTTTGAAACACAGGGAGTGATTCACCAGATCTCCATTCCACGGCCATGGTCCTCACAGGAGCAGGCGTTGAAAGGGAGTTCCCATGTACCTGAGTCTCAGAGCGGCTACCATGATCAGAGCTCTCCTGACACTAGTCCTGTCCGACTCTTTGTGACGCTATGGACTATAGCCCTCCAGGCTCCTCTGTCCATGGAATTCTCCAGGCAAGAATACTGGAGTGGGTTGCCCTGCCCTCCTTCAGGGGATCTTCCCAACCCAGGGATTGAACCCTTGTCTCTTATGTCTCTTGCATTGACAGATGAGTTCTTTACCACTAGCACCACCTGTAAAGCCCACAGCATACTGTGACCCTTTCCAACTGAGGTGGATTGATTCTGTCCACCTCAACCAACAAAGAAATGTATCAAAATAAAGAATTTGAGAATGACAAGTCCATGATTTTTTAAATGATGATACTAACAAAGATTGATGATAAGCTCTTAAATATAAAACTAAGACTAAATAATTATAGGGGTTATGCTTATGGGGAGAACGTATATGCATTCTAAACCTTGAGAAATTAAAAGGACCTGGAGACTGTTGTAGAGAGTGAAGTCAGAAAGAGAAAAACAAGTATCTTAACACATAAATGTGAAACCTAGAAAATGGTACAGAGGAACCTGTTTGCCAAGCAGAAAGAGATATAGACATAGAGAACAAACCCAGACAGCAAGGGGAGAAAGGGAGGTGAGATGAGTTGGGAGACTAAGATTGACACAAATATAAACAATATATAAAATAGAATGAGAGCCTACTGTGTAACACAGGAAACTGCTCAGTGCTCTGTGGTGACCTGATGGAAAGGAAATTCAAAAAAGGGAGGATATTTGTAAACATATAGCTGATTTACTTTGGTGTACAATAGAAACTAACACATTGTATTGTAAAGTAACTATACCACAATTAAAAAAAATTTTTTTAAAGCAAGAATAAAACCAATTTAAAAATGAGAGGGAAGAAGTGAAAGTGTTGATTTCCTTTTTCCTCCCCCCCCCCCACACCCAATTGGAGTTTATACTATCTAATATTGACAAACAGAGTTTAAAATAAACCTAAGGATGCTAACCTCTCTCTTACTGTTTACCTCACATTATTCTTTAAACTCAGAAGAAATGAACTTAGAAATGACTATATCTAATGATAAAGAAGAAATTCAGTGAAGTTCAGCAATTTTTTCAGCTCTGTTCCACCTTTTTTCTTCTGTTAAAATTAAGTCTTAACACGGTTGTCTTAGTTTGGGCTCTTCTGGAAGCAGACTCAAATAAATTTGAGTATTTCAGTGCGTGTGTGTGTGTGTGTGTGTGTGTGTGTGTGTGTGTCTGGGGTGGAGGGGGAGTTTCAGGAAACCCTGGCAGGGGATTGGAAAAGCAGGATATGGGCGCGGGGGAGGAAGTGGGGCTAGGTGTTAAAGAGAGGCGGCTGCTCTTTGTGGGGAAACTGGCTTAGCCCCACTGGGGAACTGGGGTAACCACCTCAGCGCTGCCCCACCCACGGGGAGAGGACCTGGGGAGTTCGACCGTCAACTTCCATCAGGACCAAGGGCTCCCCTGGTGTTACCTTCCCGGCATTTCTTCTCTCCCTGGTGCGTGGGCTGACCCACTCCTGCAGCCAGAGACCCCCTCAGGCCAAGAACATTTGGGTGCTTTTAAGGGAAGTTCGGGACTCTACCAAGACAGTGAATGTCCAGGATATAGCTGGACACCAACAGCAGCTGCCAAGTTTCTTAAGTTGAAGAAACCTGTATCATGGATCCACCCCCACTGAATTATGCCAAGTGAAGCCATCTCAGAAAGCTACGTATTGTGCGATTCCATTTATACGGTTTTCTGGAAAGGTCAAAACTCTGAGGACAGAAAACAGATCCTTGGTTGCCAAGGGCTGGGGAGGGGTGAGGGGTGATTAAAGGGAACTCTCTGGGGGTGGATGAAGATGTGGTGGTCCAGGACAGCACATTTGTCAACGTTCATAGGACTACACACCTGAGAAGGACGAGTTAAACCGTATGCAAACTGTATCTCGAAAACCTGTCTGTGATGCTCTTAAAAATGTTTGCATACTTGACATCTGGTCCCATCACTTCATGGCAAATAGATGGGGAAACAGTGGAAACAATGGCTGACTTTATTTTGGGGGGGGGGGCTCCAAAATCACTGCAGATGGTGATTGCAGCCATGAAATTAAAAGATGCTTACTCCTTGGAAGGAAAGTTATGACCAACCTAGATAACATATTAAAAAGCAGAGACATTACTTTGCCAACAAAGGTCCGTCTAGTCAAAGCTATGGTTTTTCCAATAGTCATGTATGGATGTAAAAGTTGGACTGTGAAGAAAGCTGAGCGCTGAAGAATTGATGCTTTTGAACTGTGGTGTTGGAGAAGACTCTTGAGAGTCCTTGGACTGCAAGGAGATCCAACCAGTCCATCCTAAAGGAGATCAGTCCTGGGTGTTCACTGGATGGACTGATATTGAAGCTGAAACTCTAATACTTTGGCCACTTGATGTGAAGAGCTGACTCATTTGAAAAGACCCTGATGCTGGGAAAGATTGAGGGTTGGAGGAGAAGGGGATGACAGAGGATGAGATGGTTGGATGGCATCACCGACTCAATGGACATGGGTTTGGGTGGACTCCGGGAGTTGGTGATGGACCGGGAGGCCTGGCTTGCTGCGGTTCATGGGGTCACAGAGAGTCAGACATGAATGAGTGACTGAACTGAACTATTTATTATTTCAAGAAAAGTTTAATTCTCCCTTGAGGACGTAGGGACTTGGTTCTAAAAACAAATCAAGACAGAAGTGAGGTTGTGTGAGTGAGAGTTGAGGTCATGAAAGACGGTGGCCTCCTGCCCTCTTATTCCTTCCTGGGTCACCTGCTCTGGGTGACCCTAGAAGCCAGGTCATCGAAGCCTGAGAGAGGTCCTCCTTGGAGAGCAGCCGAGGTCTCAGGCCACCAGCTACATGAGAAGCCATGTGGGTTCTCCAGCCCAGGCCAACCTGCTCCCTGGCCCACAGTCTGTAATTTCACAGGGGGCCCTGAGATAGACCCACCCAGCCAAGCAACTTTCAGTTCGCAACCCTCAGAAATTGAGTGAAATAAAATGATTGTTCCTGTTAAGTGGCTACATTTTGGGTTCCTTTGTTCTGCAGCAGTTGATAACTACTACACTGACTTAAAATTGAATTCCCATTTTAAAATAAAATTATCCATTCCTGGAGATAAACATATGCTAGGAGACAGCTGGCATATCGGCCTAAGGTGAATGTTTCTGGGCGGAATCTGGAGGTCACGGTGCTTGTGTTTGTCCTCTTTTATTTTCTTGAGCTGCTTTTTATAACAAACCTGTGTCAATAAAGGGGAAAAGAGAAAAACGACTTGGAGCCCAGGGTCGATGCAGAGGCATTGTTTAACAGGAGGCGGCTCGTGGCCAGGCTGGGTCTACAGGAAGCAGGCGCACCATTCCTTCAGGCAGTTGGAACACTCCCGGGCCTCAAACTCGGTGGCTCCGCAGCAGCAGATGAGCCACTTCTGAAACTCGGCTTCCCTCTTGTGCATCAGGAGGAACTGTCCCAACAGGACGTAAGCCTGTGGGGAGGACATAGGAAAGTACTCAGCTAAGCTCTCCCTCCCCCAGTGCGAGGACACCCGAGGAAACCAAGGAGCGGACCCGGGTCAGATCCAAGGGGCAGTGGCCGTCCCTGAAATCTAGGTCACAGGGACTCTATCCTGACCAGAGCCCGGGCCTGGGTGAGAGGTGCCTGCATGCGTACTCAGTCACGTCCGACTCTCTGCGACCCTCTGGACTGTAGCCCGCCAGGCTCCTCTGTCCAAGGGACTCTCCAGGCAAGAATACTGGAGTAGGTTGCCATTTCCTCCTCCAGAGGATCTTTCCAACCCAGGCATCGACCCACGTCTCTTACGTCTCCTGCATTGGCAGGTGGGTTCTTACTGCTAGATCCACCTGGGAAGTCCCAGGGAGACCAGTGGAGAAACGCAAACTCCTTTACATCAGTGGGAGGAACATACAAAGTTATGGAGCACGCTGAGCCTTGCCCCTCTTCCCCCCCGAAGGGTCTCTGTGGATGGATGAAAAACACACTAGTCGAAGTGCCAGGGTGTTCTCTGTTCTTCCGAGTCCTGGTCCGACAGCTTCTCATTCCTCTCACGCTGCTTCACCACTATTCCTACTGAGGGAAGAGGACCACGTGGAGAAAGAGACATCTGAGATCCACAGCCTGGCCGAGCCACTGAACAGGGAAGGCCGGAGATTTAAGGCCACATGCAGCGCCCAGCTTTCCAGCCTGGAGTGAATGGGAACCAGTGTCCAGGCCTTAAGTCCTGGGCCTACTCCAGGAAAACCCGCTGGCATTTGGGTATTTCACTCACATAAAACCAAGCAAACTTCATTTGAACTATTAAAGGGATGAATTTTTTAAAAGACATTAAATAAAAGCTGAATTCCAGTCATAAAATATACCCAAGCATTGGAGTTTGGTTTTTGTTTTTTTTTTTAGCCTAGATCCAGTTTTTGAAAAGAAACAAAGACCAGGATTTCATGATCATTTTATCTGGTACTTTAATCATCTTTTGTAAAAAGTAGTGTAATTGCTTAGAATCATCTCATTTTACTTTATCAGTATCCTCATCTTTTCAAGGGTGATTTTACTGAGTTTTTTTTTAAATTCAACTTTTTAAAAACATGAACATTTACTGAATATTGATTGAGTCTGTTGCTTCAGTAAATGTGAGCAATGCAAGGTTGGGAAACACAGAGCTTTGTCCCAGAAAATAGAACTCGATGATAATAGTAAGAGTCCCTTTTGAACTTCATCAACAGGCTCCAGACCCCTGACATGGTTTCTTGCATTCCATCCATTCTCCAAATGGACTCACTGAGAACCCAGGAGGTTAGGACTCCTGTCCTCGGCTCCATTTCAGCACAAGCCAACTGTCTGCCGCCTGGCCTGGCGCCTCTGCCATCTGCTGGCATCCATCGCTGCTCTGGTCATCAGAGTCTCCAGGTCCCTCCATGTTTGGCAGCTAGGATGCCAGGGAGTGTGTGGCCCTCAGGACCAGAGGCAAACTTACCAGAAATCCTGCAGGCAGGAGGGCCTCTAGAGCTGGGGAAGTCAGCCTGCTTCTCTCTGCTCCCAAGGGAAGTTGGAGTTGTGGGCCCTCATCTTGGCCCTAATAGAAACCAAGTCCTCTTGGTTTCTCTCTGGGCTCCAGAGGGTGAATTCCTACCCAGGGAGCTGCCCTCTGCCTCCTTGGGAGCACAGGAAACTGACCTCAGGGAAAGGGACATGAGCACCCTGACGTACTTTCCCACCATCTCTCCCACTCCAGACTTTTCCTACGTGGCAGGATGGTGTCTCCAGGGAAGATGTCCCCTCAATGTCAAATTCAAACTGTGAGCAGGTCTGGACCAGGCTCTAGCTTGCGTGCCCATTCCTTGCTCAATAGCAGTGATATTTGAGTCTGGGGTCCCTGTAGGGACCCACGTTGGCACACAGGCCCTGTACTCCGAGGCCCCACTTGGTTTCCTGTTGTGCTGGCGCCATCTTGAAATTCCTAATAAACTTGCACCAGGGGCCTCCCATCCTCACCCTGCACTGGGCCCGGCAAATTAGCAGCTGGTCCTGGTCAACGTTCATTCAATATTTCAGTCTCCACAAGAACACCCAGATTTCTCATATACAGACACGCAGTCTCAGCCCCTCACTGTCTGCCTGACTCCCCTGCCAGCTCTCAGCTCGTCAGTGCTTTGGTGAATGCACTTCACAGCACCAGGCATTGGGTGTGATCAACAACTTTTTCTCTAACTAAATGTTACATTTATGCTGTTGCTGTTCAGTCACTGTCACGTCTGACGCTACGGCCGCATGGACTGCATACGCCAGGCTCCCCTGTCCTTCACCATCTCCCAGAGTTAGCTCAAATTCACGTCCATTGAGTCAGTGATGTTATCTAACCATCTCCTCTTCTGTCTCCCCCTTCTCCCCCTCCCTTCAGTCTTTCCATCATCAGGGTCTTTTCCAATAAGTCAGCTCTTTGCATCAAGTGACCAAAGTATTGGAGCGTCTGCTTCAGCATCGGTCTTTCCAGCGAATATTCAGGGTTGATCTCCTTTAGGATTGGACTGGTTTGATCTCCTTGCAGTCCAAGGGACTTAAGAGTCTTCTCCAGCACCACAGTTTGAAAGCATAAATTCTTCGGTGCTCGCCTCCTTTATGGCCCAGCTCTCACACGGGACATGGCCGAGGAAGCTGCCATGAGCATAGGTGGAAACTGAGAGGGTCTCCGTTCACAGCCAAGGAAACCCGGGGATCCCCATCTTGGGGAAGGGGCTGCCATGCCCAGGCCTCCTGTGGGCAGGACACAGAAACCCAGGCGCTCAGAGGATTGTGGGGCAGAAGAATGACTCCGTAGGACATCACCATGGTGGATACTAGCCTTCCCTGGTGGCTCAGATGGTAAAGATTCCACCGGCAATGCAGGTGACCTGGGTTTGACTCCTGGGTCAGGAAAATCCCCTGGAGAAGGGACTGGCAACACTCTTCAGTATTCCTGTCTGGATAATTCCATGGGCAGAGGAGCCTGGCAGACTACAGTCCCTAGGTTCACAAAGAGTCAGACACAACTGAGCAACTCTTTCATGGTGGACACAGGTCATCACATATGTGTCCAAACCCATAGAATGCATGACACAGAATGAGCCCTGATGTGAACTGTGTACCTGGGAGAATTCATGTCCACGTAGGTTTTCCTGTAACAAAGCTACCACTCCGAAGGGGATGCTGATGATGGGGGAGGCTGGATGGGCGCAGGGGTATTTGAACTTTCTGCTCTATTTTGCTGTGAACCTGAAACTGCTCTAAAATGATAAAGCCTGTGGAAAGCACTGCAGGAGTCTGACTTTCTGCTGCTGCATCTGAGCTGGCTGTCCATAGCCCCCACCTCTCTCCTGAAGCTCCTGCTCATCTTGTAGATGCTACATTGGGATTGCCTCCTGGATTCTCTTAGAGGCTCAGCCAGGCTCAAGGAGGTGATACAGGGTCTCACCACCAAATCTCAGCATAAGCCCCCTCCCTGCTGGGTTAACTTCCTCGCAGTGATCTTCATGAGTGGTTTGTGATGAAACAACCCATGGCTGTTCTGTCCTCACTCAGGACCTTGATCAAGTCACTCAGTCTCCAGGGCCTCTGTCTCCTCCTTTGTAAAGTGAAGATCGCAACCCCTCATTCATGGCTGGACGAGGGACTCAAAGCTAAGGCAGAAGGTGAAACGCCTGGTGTCAGTACCTGGAATCAGTGGCCCTTGCAATGAGTATATGTGGAGAGCTGGTCACAGCCAGCCAGGAGGTCGGGGACACAGAGGAGCAGGTCTCCAGAGACCTAGCCAGTTCCGTCTTCCCTGTAGCCATAACTCTGTGTATCAAGTTCTCAGATACCTGGAAACTTCCCATTATTCATTCATTCCTTTGTCTTTAATATGCCTGTTATCTTATCTATTTCAATTGAAACAAGTTGGAAAAGAAAACGATAGGGACGGAAAACAAATCTGTAGTTGCCAGGGGCTGAAGGTAAGAAATGCGAAGGGTAAGCGGAAATATTTTAATGCGATGGGATTGCTCCAGATCTTGATTGTGGTCATGGCTACACAACTGCAAGCATTTGTCAAAAGTTGCAGAACTAAAAAGGGTGAAATTTACTACATGTAAATTTAAATATTTTTTGAACAGAGTATGGTTGAACAAGAACAAAACCTCACAATTACAGAGACATTAAACCGATGGTGGTAGAAGCCGGAATAGCAGTTATTTGTGGGAGTGGGGAGGTGGCGTTGACCTGGAAGACAAAAGGAGGAACTGTCTGGAATTGTGGAGGAGCCTGATCACTGGATGAGGGTGGTGGGGCTGTGCATGTGTGTCATTGTGAAAACTCACTGAGCTGAACCATCACATCAGTGTGGATGTGATACACCACAATAGAAAAGTCAAAGGGATAATAATTTCTTCTAAAAAATAACTTTTAATTTCAAATGTCTCCCTTAGTCAGACTTGCCAGCTTTTATTCCTGCTCCCAAATGCCCTTCCCACCTTTATCTGGAAGGAAAGAAGCAAATTCACCTCTCTCCACCTTCCTGACACTCCCACCTACCGGACTGTGGCATTAGACTGGGGTGACGTTCAGAGTATTTAACGAATGGCTCAGGGCCGTGTGTCAATCAGAAAACTACAGAACCAGCCATCCAGCTGTCCCTGGACACAGCCATGAACTGGGCTGGTGCAAACCAGACTGTTAAATCACACACGCAGTGGCACCAGGGGCCCTGGGTGTCTCTGCAGCCCCTTCTTGCCCCGGCCATGGACTGATTTTCAGAGCTAAAGGGAATGACCAGCCGCGGCCCTGCTAGCGGGTCCTCTGTCAACTGAGCGCCTGTGGGTTCCCGCCTGCCTACTTTCTCTGGGAAGAGCTCCCAGTCCTTCCTAAGGCTCGCACAGCCTTGTAACAGCATCATAGAAAGAAGTATTCATACACAGACCTTGCTGATTCCATTGGCCATCCTCGAGGTCGTACCTGGATGGCTAGTGACATCTTGCAACAACTCACTTCCTCTTACTCCGGTGTAGATGCCAGGCTGCTATTACTCCACCTGCCGAGGCCTAATAGGAGGAGAGGGACCCTCCCCATCCAAATTTCTTCATGGGGGGCAGGGAGATCACCCAGGTCACCCATCCTGACATCTCGGCCCCAGACTCTCTGGCCGGCTCGCCTCTGTCCACTCCTGGGTGTGTGAACACTACGTGAACCTTGCACAGCCCAGCTGCTCTGAGCCACAGTGATCCAGTTTACGCATCTTCTGTGGACCCTGGCAGCTGCCCAAGCATGCAGGTCAGTGACGCTGAAGCCTGTGGCACCCAGCCAAGTGGCAGCTCTGCTCTCTGATGGCCACTGGCAGGGACACGTGGCAGCCACCGCCATCTGGCAGGATTGGGGGAGATGGGTCGGGAGGAGAAGGTAGAGAAACAGGAAAAGAGGGATTACCTTGTTGAAACCTTTGGTGACCAAGTTGATCTCCAGCTCATGGCTGATCCCATCCACGCAGGCAACATCCTTTTCTCTGATGGGTTCAGAGAGGAAAGCTCTCAGCCTGCGAGACATGTGGTCCATGTGCTGTAAGAGCAGTGGGGGCAGGGGCGTTAGGAGGCTGGGGAACACCCTCAGACTTCCGAGGGCAGGGGGCTGGGGCCAGTGACGGTGGGCATCCTCCCATCATCCAGCGTTTACTGGAAATTTTTAGATGCCGGGGCAATGCTCTGCTCACAAGCCTTTCCATACCGATCACTACCTGCATGGACTAAGAGAGGGGTATCAATGGCCTCAGATGAGCCTAGTAACTCCCCATGAAAAGGGTGGGCTGGATGCTAAGCAGGGGTCCCCAATCTGTTTGGCACCAGGGACCAGTCTCATGGAAGACAATTTTTCCATGGACTGGGGGAGGAAGGGGGATGTTTTCGGGATGATTCAAGGGCATTACATTTATTGTGTACTTTATTTCTATTATTATTACATCACCTCCAGCTCAGATCATCAGGCATTAGATCTTGGAGGTCGGGGACCCCTGATGCTAAGAACTCTGCTGGGTTCCTTTCCAACCTTCCCACCCTAAATGCTTGAAGAAACAGCTTGCTTCTCTGAGCTAATTAATCTATGTTCTCCAACATTTTTTTCATATTTTTATTTTAGCCTTTACCACACTCTATAATAGCTGGTTGTTTGGTTGCAAGGAACAGAAAACTCTAACTGGCTCAAATATTAAAAGAGACATTATATAAGTCAGAAGCCCAAGAGTGAGATTGGGTCTGGTACAATCAGGATTGTGAATCCATTTCTCTCAGCTTTCCAACTTGGTTTCAGTTAGGGTTGGTTCCCCTTGTGGTGGTGAAATGGCTGCACTTGCACTCAGATTCTCACCTTCCCCACCAACATCTCTGCTCCAAAAGAAGAAGTTTCAAAAGAGAGGGGACGTGTTTTTTAGGAGTTCCGAGCAAGCTTCATCCAGCTGTACTCCCCGTCCTAGATCTGGGGGTGGAGTCAGCTTTCCCTAAGCTGGATGAGCTGTGAGTTCAAGTATAGCTCCCTGCACAAAATCAGGATTATTATGGATAGAGGGGCAGGTGGTGTGAAGTCTGTAACCATAATGTCCCATATGATCCACCCCTTTGACAAACTAATGTTGGTACCCTCACTTTCCCTTACATAAGCATCAGAAATAACTACACTTGGGTATTTAATAGACTTACCCCCTCCCCCAAAGGGTGAAACCCCCTGATTCACTCAGTTACTGGATTCAGATTCGAGTTCATATTTTCTGGGAGATGCATCAGACTCCCCATCATGTCTGGAAGTATCTACTCACAGGATGGTAACCTATAAACTAAGTTCTGAAGTTCACGGTCATCAACCTAGTCAGCAATGTTGGGGAAAACCATGCTATCTGAACCAAAGATTTCTTGGGGAGAATTCTCTGTTTGGAGAAGGAGAAGACAGGAAACACACTCCATTGCCACTGGTCAATAGCACCTATGATACTGGAGGTTGCTTGCCCTGACAGTAAAGGCAGGTCCTCCATGGGACAAGATGGCAGCCCCCAGTTTTGAATGTTGGTGGATCTCCCGTGTCCACTGCCTGGTTAACATCCTAGTGGGCTTGGGGTCGATGCCTCCCAAGGAGAGCCACTGCTATAGCACTCTGCTTCTGTGGGCGCGAGCTCAGAGATTGGCCCGAGGGACAGGCCATCTGAGGCCATGAGTTGGCCACTTCCTTTGGCATCTCAGCCCCCTTCATTAACTGGGTTTCTTCTATCCAAAGCCATGGCTGGTGGTTGAGGTGGAGGTCTTGACAGGTCTGTATCCTTGCTCTGTGCCTTGCCTGCTGTCCTGCTCCTCAGACTCGTGGCATCTGACCACATCTCTGAGGTGGGGAGGCACCCCATGTTTCCTCCTCAACCCACTGCATCCCAGGGGGCATCTTCACAGGAAGGTAAGTGCCCCATTTATCAAGCGTGACCTCCTTCAGACAAGATTGCTCAGGAGAGACTTGGGAATGGGTGGCAGTGTCCTTCTGGGCCCCCTATTCTTTCTCTTGCTGAGTCACCTGACTTGTGTCTCATGTTCTAACTTTAGCCGGTTTCATCACCTTTCCCAACCCAGCAGGATGTGGGTAGAAAGCCCCTCTCCCAGCAAAACTGCATTTTCATCCCTCTGCATTTTCCAGTGGGCCACCTTCCCCTGAATGTGAGCCTCCTGGGGTCTCAGTGAGGATGCAGAGGTAGCCAGCATCCTGAGTACCCCATCAGATCTCCAGGGGTCAGGTCTCCATACAGGGTGAAGTGGGCCCACCAGAACCTGTTGCTCTGCTCCACGAGGGTCGCTGTCCTTCTCATTTGAGGGCAGAGAGACACAGGATTTCTGAGCGGGAGGAGGAGCCCGAGAGTGCAGGCCGGGTCAGCCACTTTGCCCAGGGAAAATTCCACTCCCTGTCTGCACTGGCCATCTGTTAAGTTAAACATCTCTGCCTATTTAAAGAATACACGGAAAGTGCAACACTGTTATCAGAGCTCCCGCAGCATCAAAGAACCAGTGAGGAGCAGCACCTGCCTGTTTGCTTTTCTCCCACACCTGATTCCACTTTGATCCTCAAGACACTGGCGCATAGGTGGCGATTTTTACCCTCCCCAGGCTCACTGAGAAAACGGCCTTGCATTTGTTAGGGAGCCTTTGTCTGCTACAGGGGTTCTCAACTGGGGGTGAATTGTCTCCTCGCCCAACACTTGGCAGTGTCACACTGTCACAGCTGAGGGGGGAAACGCCACTGGAGTCTGATGGCAGAGGTCAAGGTTGCTGCCACATATGCTGTAACGCTTGCAGTAGCCTGTCCACAACAAAGGATCATCCAGCCCCAAACGTCCACAGCGTCAAGGCTGAGGAACCCTGAGCTACAAGGAGCAGAGAACCCTGACTCAAACGGTCTTAAACAACAAGTGCATTTCTCATAACCAAGAAACCCACGGTGAGGTGGACCCAGGCTTTGTTTCTCAAGAACTAGGCTAGCTTGCCCCGAAGATCCCAGGATGCCCACAAAACTTGCTTGGGCTCCATCCTGACATGAGAGAATCCAAAGGAAGGAGGGGCCATGTCTGCTTGGACGTCCGTAGCACCTCTGCAGTGGGACTTCCCTTCCTGTTGTTGGCCAGAACCAGACCACATGTCAGCCCTGAACCAGTCACTGACCAAGGGAGGCGGACCGCAAGAGGGGGATGAGGTCAGCCTCCTGAGCATGAGGCCCCTTGGAGAACGCTGGGTCTCCAGGAAGTAGAGAGGGAGGAACTGGGACCCAGGTAGACGAATGACCTTGTCAGCTCCATATTCTAAAGCCTGGACCAATAGTCACACCAACTAAGGTACACACCAACCACATGGGGGATCTTGTTGAGAATTGCAGGTTTGGATGCAGCAGGTCTGGCGTGGACATGAGATGCTCTATCTCTAACTGGTTCCTGGAAGATGTTGATACAGGGGCCCACACATCACACTGAGCAGCAAGGCATGACGTGATGCCACTTATTCTTTCAATGTTATTTTATGTTCAATTGTGGCAAAATACACAAAGCATAAAATTTACGATCTCAGCCATTTTTAAGGGTACAGTTCAGTAGGGTTAAGTACGTTTATGTTGTTGTGTGGCTAAGTCTCTTATCTTGCCAAACTGAAATTCTGTTTTTGGGGGGGCTCTGTTCAAGTTTTATTTCATGTGCCCATTGATGGGCACTTGGGATGTTTCTGCCTTTTGGCTATTGTGAATAATGCTGCTATGAATAGGGTTATACAAGCATCTCCTCAAGACTCTGCTTTAGTTCTTTTGGGTATGTCCCCAGAAGTGGGATTTTTGGATCCCAAGGTAATTTTATGTCTAATATTTTGAAGAACCATCATATTGTCTCCCATATTGGCTATACCAATAGCATTTATTCTTAAACTTGACAGCACATTAGATCGGATTGGGAAATTGACACATTACTGACGCTTGGGTCCCTCCTTCTGTGTTTGATTTAATTAGCATGAAGAGTATCCTGAATGGTGGAATTTTTAAAAACTCCCCAAGTGATTTCAGATGCTGCAAAGTTTGAGAACCACTGCTGCATTGTCATTGGCTTCTTTCTCTTAAAATTATAAGCAGGTTTTCCAGGAGGATGGGGTTCCAGCTAAGAGGCTTTGCCAAGGTCTCTGAATATCTGTATCGATAGATGGCCTAAGAGCGATGACATGAAGGCAGTATCTACACCCTGCTCCAACCACCAGACATCGTATCCTCATTAGCCATCAACAGGAAGATTTAACTGTGATCCTGACAGCTTTGAAGGGCTTCCCCAGTGGCTCAAATGGTAAAGAATCATGTGCAGTGTAGAAGACCTGGGTTTGATCCCTGGGTCGGGACGATCCCCTAGAGACAGGGGATGGCTACCCACTCTAGCATTCTTGCCTGGAGAATTCCATGGACAGAGTAGTCTGGCAGCTACAGTCCATGGGATCACCAAGAGTCAGATATGACTGAGTGACCTTTCACTGACAGCTTTGAAGTCAGAGAATTCCAGAGCAAGCAGATCTCAATAATGGTCTATCCCCCCTTTTTCAAACTTAAAAAAAAGAAGGGATCTTTACTTCAAAGGAAATTTTTCCTGGAACCCTTTTCACATAAAATAGATCAAGGCAGAATTACTCTGTTGACTCAGGAACGAACCGGGAACACCAACACCTGCCCCAAACACGGAGCCACGGCCTAGTCCCCTGGGGCTGCCCCCCGAGTCCCTCTCTTGTCCAGCCTAAGCCCCTCATCTCACTCATGAGAACACAGAGGCCCCAGAATGCATGCAGCCAGCTGAGACCACGCACCCAGCAGAGCGCGGCTGGCTCTGGTCCCCGGAAGAGCATCCCCTTCTAGTCAGTGATATTTCTGGGTGGTGGGGAAGGGTGGGGGGGAGGTCGGGAGTGGAGGCTGCAGTAGGGTCTGATTAAGAGCTAGACAGTCATGTGACAAAACCACTGCAAATGCCTTAACAAAACCCCATCCCATCAAAGACTCCTGTGTTACAAGGTGTTCTTTCCAGTGAC